TTTGCACTAACCATCTCACATTTTCTGTAACAGTAGCTGCTCTCTTGCTCAAATTGCACAAAGTACTGACAGTGAGCATCTGGTGGCGGGTCCCTCTTGTACCAGAGAATATCACCAGCAATAATAACGGCGGGTGAGGCTGCTGCTCTTCCAGTGGTTTCTTGCACTGGAGCTCGAGGAGGAGCTGCCACTTGCTCCACTAAAGCTCTTATTCTTCTCAGCAACATTATAAGTAGGCACCACTGATGCATGCTCTTGCTAGTCTCGCACAGCTGTAGTCCGGGGAATGGTCTGCTACCCCAATAGATAAAGTGTATTCAGTGCTTGGCTCTTATATACACTGTCACAACGTAACTGAAGTCAGCACAAGCCTAACGTAACATTCACTTATAAGGAATTTGACACATACACGCACACCAAACAAAGGGGGAATCCCTTATACCATATATGGTATCCTCATCGTTTTCGTTGCTGTGTAAATGTGGCCTAGCCTTTATCAGTACTGGGACACAAAGCTAAGGGCAGAAGGAGGGACTAAGAAAATTATTCAGTGTATTCACAGTTTTGGAGCTGTGTTACAGAGCAACTTTAGTATGACATAAAGGGAGGAAGTGGCATGCTCCAATGATGTCCAATCAATCTCTGTGTAAACAAGCTCATTGTTAATTAATGAATATGATCACAGCGTGAATCACAGTGATTGAATATTTGTAACTGCAAATGTGAATTGCACTGTGTGCATTACATTATTAGGAGTAAATCAGCTCGTGTTGTTGTAATTGACAGCAATGAGACTAAGTACTACTTCACTATATGTAATGACAAGTACTTTTGAATGGTGAAGATTGCACTGATGAAAAACTCCTTCTAACTGACATTCACACCTTCAATTATTACACAGCAACAAATATTGTTAAGAGTTTTGTCAAACCATGTTAACTTCATGAACTGTATATAACTTCACATTTTGCTCATGTAGTATTATCATGTAGTAACTTGACTTTCATTCATCATCATGTCGTAATCTTTTATTTAAGTACACCCCTTGTTCTACATTCTTCTGGTTCAAATTTGGTTATTATTATGAGTAGCCCAATGGTGTAGTGTGTATAGCATGCATGTCAGGGAGGTGGGTGGAATAGGAAGACAAGAATGTAATAAATTAGTTAGCACAGACTATTACTTGTAGCAACAACTACATGTATACCTAATCATTTGTCGTTTTGTGACTACACACACAAAATGTGAGTACACACTTATGCTTTCATTTAAGCCATCCAGCATGAGTTTACTTGCGGGCATACATGTACAATGAAGAGTTAATTGGAGAGCAGCCTATTGTGATGGAAATATTGTAACTTTTAGATTTTGAGCATTACATTATATTCTCTTGTTAGGGTATTTTTACTGATTTGAGAGGTAAAGCATTTGAAGTGCAGGTTGGATTGCATAAACTATTAGGACACGGATCAGGGAAACTGTTCAGTAAGGTAAGTCTCATTAATTCATTGTTATAGTTGATGGTATGAGTCTATAATAGGATAAGAATGGAGTCTTTAACTTTGAACAAGATAAAGTTATCAATCCTTTGACTGGAGATAAGGTTGGACTTGCAGTCTTACACATTATACTATAAAGCCTTCATGGTTTATAGTCCACGTAAAAGCATAACCTGTGTGGATGATCTGACTTTAAATTGATAATTCTGCATCACATTTTATGAGAATGAAAACAGGGTTTACTCATAAGAAGAACATTTACCTATATAGTAGCACTGCATTTTGTGGGGAGTACATCAAGATATACTGTATCTCCCAACTTTGTCAACTTAATCTTTGTTTACACTAACTATAGGCATCTGTGTGCAATCAAAAACTGTGTGCAAGGAATTTTTTGAATTTTGTCCTATTTACTAGTTTGCTCACATTCATGTTAGATAAGGAGTTGGTATAATCCAGGAGAGACATGGGATACACAGTTTAGTACAATAGCATCAACTTATGAAGAATGTAGAGCAGAATGTGTTGGTATATACCTCTCCACTGACAGGAATATATTGCGGTAAGTATGGGTGTGGTCTATATTATCATGCTCCGCCTATTTCTAGTATATTTGGTTATGAAGGAGCTGAAGCTGAAGACATAATGTATGTGAATTGGTTGAGCATGTTGAGGGCAGGACTTATAGCATTAGAGTTTTATACACCTGAAACAAAGAAATGGAGACAAGTACTTTACTGATAATGTCATTATAATATATATATAATGTTGTTCCACCCACCACTCATAGGCTCACATGCAGGCTCGTTATGTTATATTGCGTGTATTGATGGATTCTGATACTC